ACTCAACTGAATGGTGGGTGGAGCATAAGCATGGAACACTTTTAAAAGCTTCTCAGAGGACTCTAATATAAACCAGAATTAAAAATCATGGTGTTAGACTCATAGCAGGAGTATAATGGACCAGGTGAGAAAATAACAAGAATAATGAACTGCCATATATCAGAGACATTTTACGGGGGTGGAGTGGGGAATGGATCAAAAAGGGGGGGTGGAGAAGGAAGTGCATGGGATTACGGTGATGGCACACGGTGACTTGGTAATGGGAAACCCGCCGGGACTATAATTGAGATGGAAAAAAAATGTAAAAATGTAAAATAAACTGTTATAAAATTAAAAAAAAAATCATGGTGTTAGAGTAATCAGTACAGGCCAAAAGGGTATGGGGCTGCTGGGTAGCAAATGCTTCTGTAGCTCCCAGGGAGTATGAAAGCAAACAGTGGTTAGGAGATGTTGTCTTAGAAACAATTAAACCAATTAAGTTAGACCTCTGGAAGTGGCTTAATTAATTTCTCCAAGGACACACAGCTAGGACATGTTTGGTCTAGGATTCAAATCTTAATTTGAGTCCAAACCTTGGATTGCTTCACTTTACCGTGTAGTCTAGGGCAGTATGTCAGCATAGAAAACCCAAGGAGGTAGCATAGAAAAATATTCACAATTCTTCCAGTGAGATCCAACTAGGCCACATGCTGCCAGTATTTACCTCTTTGTCCACCCTTCTGTCTTCCCCTTGGGTTTTGCTTTTTACCAACTTGTTTCCTTTCTGCCGTGGTCACTACCTCTCCCAGAAGTAGAGGCAGTACTTGAAACGGGGCCAACACTGTGGGCTGCCCTCCTAGACGCCAGCTGGCCTCAATGCCCCTGCTCCCCGGTACTGATCCCTGGGGCCTCCTTTCTGGAGAGGGAGGAAGGAGCAGTACACAGTGCTGCAGTCAAGACCAAGCATTTGTCTCTCCTGCTTCTGCCTCCTGACATATATGCAGCTCTGTATAATGAAAACCTAAATCATGAGTGTGCACACATGGTTTATTTGCAGTTAGCTTTGAGGACTCAGTGGGGGTTCGATGCGATTAGAGAAGAGATCTACACTGGGAGTGCCTAATCTTCTTAGTAGACAAAATGAAAATTGAAGCTGAAAATGCATAGCTCTACATCGAAAAGAGGCCAACAATAAATATTCTTCAACCTCGGCCCCCTCAAGCTCAGAAAATGCTTTAAAACCAAGGACACAGGGAAGATGAGTCCGTGAACGGTCCCCCCTCCTGTTTGCTAAAGAAGCTTTATTAAGCCTGCTGGAGATTGATTTCACATTCTAGAAATAACTTACCTTTCCCCTCAAGTCACCTAGTGGGATGACTTCCATCTTACAAAATGCATTCACTATTATTCTTGAAGCTTCCATACTTTTCCCACCAACAGGCTGCCATGCCAAATACAATCCTGTAGCTTTTCCACATTAGTATTTCTGCCAAGAGGGAGTGCCAGACTGATAAAAGTAGTCCTTATCACACTCTGAAGCACTGGAAGCCTCTCTCTTTGTACAACTTGTTGGACAGTTTAGAAAGCCCAGCACTTCCACACCCCTCCTCCTCCCATAGTTTCTCTTTATTCAGCCCAAACCTGTGAATGGAACACATTTTCACCTCTCTACCTGCCTCCAAGATCTAAGCAGTTCCAAGTGCAGAAAGGATCCATGACCAGGCACTCCATCTATGTGCTCAGGCTGGGGCCAGGATAGCCAGTCAGGCAGAGGACAAGTGGTCTCTGAGGGCCTCACGTCACACTCATTCACCACTCCAGTCCTGAGCAACGGACTCTTTCTTCAATGGCAGCCACAGGAGGCCCTGCTGAGCTTCCTAGGGCCTGTTCCATGTCACAGGGTAAAAAAACAGGCTAGTCAGGCCTCTATGTAAAAAACAAAGCCTGGCAGGAAAGAAACCAGACAGGGCAAGGAGGAATTGAAAATTAATTGAACAAGGGGTTGGTTCCCCTGCAGGCCTGATTTCTTCACAGAAAAAAAAAATCCCTTTTAAGTCCTACCCCTTTTCCCAGGCAAAGCAGAGGAAACATTACCACTAACTAGTACCTCATCCAAGGTGAAAGCTATTTTAAATGGTTCTTTTGAATGAGATACTTTCTACTCCATCTCTGCTCTGGGGTGTGGTTTTCCCACAGTATGTTGATATGTAGGCCAGGGCGGACAACAAAGCTAAGTCTTCCTGAGAAGCAATGTGGAAGGCCCAGGAACACTCACTAAGTGTTATTTTCCATTTGCCCTCTTCATTCTCTGCCCTTCTCTGCCCAAGGTTCATTCTCTGCCCTTCTCTGCCATCCTTTGTGCCAAAGGAGACTGACCTCAACAGACCAGAGCAACAGGTTTCTTTGCCAGCTGGCATCTAGATGGCTGGGTCTGCCTTATGGTGGGCACTGGCTGGAAAGCCGAGAGTGAAGAGCGAGGTAAAGAATGTAAGTCCTGCTCTCTCTCACAGTTGTGTTGCGGTTAGGCAGGTTGTGCTCCTGGAAGACACAGCTCTTATCAGGTGGCCCATCTCACAACATTATAGATTGTGCTGTTTCCAGTGAGGCTGTTTTTTTCCCCTTGCTCCCTCGGTTTTAGGAGAGGGAACAGCTCCCCCACTCCCCACTCAGGCTGTGTGTGCCTCCTGTCACTTGTAAATTCCTTTAATTCTATGGATGCCACCATAAATGCCCCCTTTATAAACTCATCTCAGCGAAGTCTCTCAAGTATGACTTGTCTCCTGCCAAGACCCTCATATAAACAACTCCATCACTCCCACAGAATTCCACGAGGTTCCTTAGCTGAAGGAGATCATCTGATCCAACTTCCTGTTCTCAGGAGTATGATCTGCTTTTTCTCAAGTGCTTGACATATTCGCCACCTATTGGGCTCTGAGTTATGATTGCATTATCATGTCACACAAATAAAACTGTGGTTTGACTCTGTTCCAGTTTGGTTGTATCTGTTCTTAGTCATCTTTCCTGGAGAAAGGTGATAATGTAAACCCAATCACTTGATTCTCACCCAGAGAAGTATGTTCAACTTGCCTTCCCTTAAGTACATCATTCAGTTCCATGAGGGAGATAATACTTGACATGAATTCAATCATCCATTCTTCTAGTAGTCCCCATTGTGGTGCTAGAAACCACCCTTGTTCCAGAGCGGTCATCCCCAAATTTTCACTGCCACCTACACATATTCTTTAGACTGTCACTGCTGAGGGTTATGCTTACTTAATGCCTTCTCAACGCTTCATCCACACACCCTGCTGCAGGCCAAGATTGGCTCATCATGCACCTCAGTTATTGCAATCTCTAGTCTTTTTTTTTTAAGTTTTATTTGTGCATACAGAAATGGGGTACAGGTCAGAGGTGCAGGGACAGTGAGAGAATTCACCAGAGTGGAGAGCAGAACAGGCAGAGTGACGAAGTACACTGCTGAGGGGAGCAGTGGGTGGGCCAGGAGAGGCCTGCTCCGCCATGTGGGTCACTTCCGGGGAGGGGATCGAACTCACACTGAAGCAGCTGGGCCAGCTTGCAGTGCTGTGTCCCAACCCATGGAGCCACCAGAGAGAGCCGCAATCTCTAGTCTTTTTCATTCTCCACACTTTAGTAAAGCTGACCTCTGAAAAGACACACAGGTGTTCATGTCATTTTCTTTACAATGACCCTCATTTAGGATAAATCTAAACTCCTCATCCTCATGCAGAAAGCTCCACAGGATCTAATATTTCCCTTTTCAGCTTCAGTTTTTGACACGCTCCTTTTTATGCCCCCCTAATCATTATTCTTGTGATGGCACCATATTCTGTTTTTTAAGATTTATTTATGTATACACAACTGGGGTACAGGCCAGAGGTGCAGGGGAGTGAGAGGATTCACCAGAGACAGGGGGGGGGGATCAGAATAGGCGGACCGACAAAGTACACTGCTGAGGGGAGCAGCGGGCAGGAAAGGAGAGGTCTGCTGTGCCATGCAGATCACCTCCCTGGCTGGGCATTGAAGCTGTGCTGCAGTGGCTGCGGTAGCTTCATACTGCTGTGCTGTAACCTGCTGCGCCACCAGGAAGGGCCACCATGTTCTTTCCTATCTCCAGGCCTCTGCTTTCCCTGCTCTTTGTCTAGTTTACCCTTTGCTGTGGCTAACCTACTCCCCCTACTCATCAGAGTCATCAAGGGTATCATCTCTAGAAAGCTTGCCCACACATCCCTCTATCTGTAGTTGGGGTAACAGTCTTTGTGTATGATGCCCCTGCCCACTCCTCTTTACTTACTAGCATGTGACATGCTTGCCTGTCAGTTTCCTGCCACTGTCCCTTTTAGAGTGAGACACCATATTTTCATCCTTTTATCCCTAGTAATTAGCAATGAGAAATAGAGTAAGACACCCAGGAAAGGTGTCCGGAATGAGTGACTGAATAGATGAGTTCATGAATAGAATATATATTTGAATCATTTCTCTACACAGGTGGATAGAGGACCCCCAATCCCTCCTGGGGTAGCATATAACTAATGAGGCCCGTTTTCTGCTGCACTCCTTCCTGGTAGGCCTGTCCCGAAACCTCACTGGAATGATTAAGAACAGAAACAGATAAGCTGGCCTTTTGAGTCACAGCCCTCCCGAGTCCCTTAAGCTGAAGTCATTTAACAATAGAACTGGCCTAAATTAATTGGGGGATGGTGTTTTGGAATAAATTCTGCCCCCATGAGACACCAAATTCTCCTACACCATCAGTCAGCCTTGAGCACAGATGGGATGGAGTCCAGACCTAAAAATACATCATCCCTATGTGACATCAGGGCTATGTTCTTTCATGTCTAACTCACCCCAGATGGAGGGAAAACATTTGATGAGCATTCTTTGAACAGGTGCAGAAACTTATATCATGCTAGAAATGACTGGGAGGCCAAAGGCCACTGTGGAATTCCTAGCCAATAAAAATGAACGGTGGTGGAGATTTCAATAAGGAGCCAGCACAAACATCCGTGTCGTCCTCATTGCGGATCTGTGTTTATTGAATGCACAACAAATGCCCATCTCTGCTCAGAACATTTGATGAACACCATTTCCGTCTCTATAAGGGACTAGTGACTACCTGCCACTATATTTTGACACCAGTCACCCAGGCAGAATGCAAAATGAACGTGTATATGTGTTCTAAGGCATAATGAGGGAGGGGTCTTGGATGACATGCAGGCACCCTTGATTAGTGTTCCCCACACTGGGAGTCACCCTCACCACAAGCTTCCCCACAACTGGACAGGAAGGAAGCAGGGGGAAAAAGGAACAGGAATGGCATTATTCTGAGAAAGTCACAAAAACTGGTGCAGTGGCACTCCATGGGGGTTTGGCCGTGGCAGTAAGTACCCAGGGGAGGGCTGTATGAATGAATGGAGGGGTAGGAGCCAGCTCTGCCCACCTCCTGCATCCTCTCTGTACGCACGTTTTCTTACCAGGCCTTTGAGCTTTGGAGTGAGTGGTAGACAGGACCTGTGAAGCTCTGTAGCTTACTTGATCATGCAATCACCTTTCAAATGAGGAGCTTATTTTGCATAATGGAGCACTTGGGGACTTGTGGGTTCATGGGCACCCACCAGCTGAGTAAACATCTGGGAGAACCATTGTTCTTGATGAATTTTGTCAACAGCCACTGACCCACTGGCTTAAGGGAAAGTAGAAATAAGTGGTGAGCTTAGAAGCATACAGACACTAGGCTACACTACTGGCAGGCAGTCGCACTGGCCTAATCTTAGTACTTCCTTTTCAGGGCTCTCTTCCCTCCTCCTCCCCACCCTCTCCAAGCTTCCACCCAGGTCAGGGTTTGTGGCATTGGTCAAGCTCCACGGCATAGGAATTGGTGTTCCTCATGATGCTCTCCACCAACATGACAGGCTTGGGGTTTCTTCCAGCAAAGCAGGAGAGCCAGGTGCAGATCAACATGGCGGCAGCGGCTCCCGCTCCAGCACAGTAATATGCCCAGCCAAGCTGGCAGGTACCTGCAGAAACAGGGCCAGAGACGTGAGGGTTGGGGTGTCTGCACATGCTTCCTTTGAGCCATGTTAGCTTTAAAGCCAGTAGGAAACAGTGACTGCAGCTGGGCTTCCTGTTTCTTTCTTTCCGTCCTTGCTGATGACTGGAATTTGCTTGAGCAAGAGGTTATAAAATGTTATTATGTTTCAGTAGGAACCTGGGGGTGGGGTGGGGGTGGCGCGCTGTTGACAATGAGACAGGAACAATGGGATCATATGTCAGGGACTATGCTAAGCTCCTCACAGACACACCACTGATCACTGCAGTAACTCTGTGTTAGGTGTTCTTATTACTCCTGTTTACATAAGAGGAAGCAGCCTGGGCACAGGTTAAATTGAAACAAGAATCACAGCTCCAAAGTGGTAGAGTTAGATTATGAACCCTGTTTTCATAATGTGTGGCTTTAAAGGTCCACACATGTAACACAGCTGTACTGAGGCATGAGGACTGTTTTAAAAGAACTATGTACTGTGTCACCAGGAGACTTGACTAGCAAAAGCAAGCCCTTTGCCCCTGACATGCTGTGAACTTGGCCTCCCGGCCTCTCCATATCCATGGACAAACTACGAATTGGAATCAACGGCAAACTGCTTAGGAGAATGTTTTGGTTTCAGACGTCATGGGAAACTGCACCTGCTCAAAAACTTCCACCCCACCACGTGCCACTCTACCTTTGAGGTATTTGTTTTTTCGAGGTCTTTTCTAGGGATCCCTCAGAAAATGTCAATGCCCAAAGATGGAGATCTATTATTTCATAAGAGATCTGAGTGACAACTAACAGGTGAATTCAAGTGCTCAATCCAGGTTGGACTTTAGGACTCCAGAAAATGGGCAAATGCCCAATGATACAAAATGGCAGGAGTCTTGAGAAAAAAAGGTACACAGTGGCTTGTGCCTCCCTCTGGTCTTGCAGAAACCTAGTCCCGACGACAGGTAGTTGGAACATCGAGATGGATCTTCATGACTATTTACTTTTGAATAATGAGTTCTTTCTGGTTACATGGAAACTAGTGAAACTTACTCATCACCCTTTGGGTTGTGTGCTGTAATGCCACATAAAGTGTCTAGGCTGAGGCCCCAGTTGGGCAGCTTTACTTTTCCATTCAAACCAGACTAGTTAGAAATAGTCTTTCTGCCCTCAAGTCATCACTCATGTGTCTCTCCTGCCGGAAACAGCTTCTTTCCTTTCACTTACCAATTCATCTCTTCCGGGGAACACCGGTCAGCATTCCACATTGCAGGAGCACTCACCTATTTACTCACAGTAAGGCTCGGGTCACCCCAAACAAGTCGCCCTGTGGAAATCTGCCTCAATCCCTTTTACCAGCCATACCTTCGAGACAAAATGCTGGGAAGACATGTCTATCACGTAGTTCTCTGCCTTTTACCCCCCTTCCGAGGGGGTGGTTCCGCAGTGCAAGTGTATTTCTTTCTGCTTCCCATGCTCAGTGGGTGTGATGTATCACAACAGTTCTTCAAAGATGGGAACATTTGTGATTTCCACCTTCAACACCTAAACCTCTGGTTTATGTTTTAAATGAAAGTTACAAAACCTACGATAGTAGTATTCTCCTTACTTTTGGAGTGAGCAGTGGTCCTTTCCATGGTCAGACCTATTCACCTTGTCTCCTCTGCCTGAAATGTTTGCTACATGCCTGCATGAACACCCGCACTGCTCATCACCCTCTCTGCCTGGAGAACACCCAGTCATTCTTCAGAGTTCAGCCCCATCGTTTTGTCCTCAGTGAAGCCTTCCCTGACCTCCCTAAGTCAAATTTCTTCATGAACGACCCTCAGTAGTACCTTCCTTCCTTTCACACTTGAGTGAGTGAACCCCTTCTCCCGTCCATAAGAAGTGTGAAAGCTTAGTTCTTCAGAGGAGATAGCACTTTATCAGTAGAGTAAGGCACTCATGTAACATCCTGAAGCCCTCCGCCCCCCCCCCCACCAAGTTATGGTTAGAGGCATGCTATAATGTCTATGAAAACAATACATCTCCAGAGAGGGAGGGGTATATTTGAAGGCCCAGCAAGGCTCTGTGACACAGAGCGCCAAAGGCGGGTCTAAAACAAGTCCTCTTGTGCTCACTCTGGTGCTCTGCCCATTTTCTCCACCTCCCAAAAGTCATTTTGCCCTCACAGGAGCCTTGACTTGTGGACCCAAAGAGGAAACTAATAGATCAATTTGTAATCTATTCACCTGGGTTTCTCACCTAATCCCCTTAACCAAGCCCTCTGTGCTGGCATGGCAGATACGCAGGAATCCTCTCTGGGTGGGCCCACTGTCGAGCAACTACCTCCTCCCTGGCCTGCTCCCAGGTGAGTCTAGACAAGGCATTAGAAGGCTCAATCTGTTTCTTCAGCTGCCTGTCAGGTCATCCCCTCATTAGAGTAGCAGGGATATTTCTATTAGGTACATGCACCCTGGGACCAGGGAAAGACTTGTTTCTGTAAATGAAAGGAATAAATGCATAGCATGCCATTACCCCAAAGCCCTAGGCAGGAAAAAAGCTGACAGAATGGGCAGCTCCAGAGTGAAAAGCTGGCTAGAAAGCCTCAATAAACCTTATTGAAGTCAAGTCAGAACTACATATCACTGGGCTGAGAGCCAACATTTAAGTGTTCCCATTGCCACCCCAAGTGCACTCCAAGTTCCCTCTTAGAGAGATTCCTATTAGGACACTGAATAGCATCTGAGCCCCAGGCTGCTGCCACACAGGAAACCAAGGAGAAAAAGAGGGAGTTAGGCCCCTCCCCACAGTGCTACCTGTTGTTTGCTTGAGGGCACAGAAAGGTGGTATCACTAGCATTGCAAAGGGAGGGGGCAGGGAAGCAGACCTTTCAGGAACTGCACTTCCGAGTTGAGAGCTGCTGGTAGTTCTCACCTACTTGCACAAAGCTGGGACACTGGTTTGATGGCCCACAGAGTAACTCAAGTTTTCTATTGAAGCTCGAAGGTAGGGAACAGTGGCGAAGACCTGCCACCCTTTGCTTTCAATCACCTTTCAGTTAAATCCCAAGGGTTATCATCAGTCTTTAAATACTAGGCCTTGATGTAACAGGTACTCAATTTCCTTTCAGAGCCGAGGAAACTGAGTCTCAGAAAGGTAAATGACTTGGCCAACTTACAAACATCAGAGGTGAGAGCTGATCCAGGGATGAAACTCCATGATCACCCCACTAGGAGAGTGAAGCCAACCATGTTTTATGGGAAAGTTGATGCCTCGCCTGACCACTTCACCTAATGAGCGTCAATTCCCTTTTCTGTAAATGAATTGACTTTTCCCAGAGAGATTTCTAAAAGCCCCTTACAGATAAGTAAAAGACGACAGGACCATCCAGGGAAAGAGGACTTATTTATAACTGGAGGATTATAGTCTAAGGTAAAGGCTTATTAAGAAGACAGAATTTCGATTTGGCTTTAGTAGTGGGAAGCAGGCATTCTAGGCAGAGTTTGTAGTCAATGTGAGCACAGTTACAGACGAATGTCGACTTCATAGTAGACTGCATATTTCAAAGAGTGTTCCATTCAGGGTTCACTGGGGAGTATATGCTGATTTTAGACCTGAAAACATCATGGAGTCTATTATATTTCCAAGTAGGAGTGGGAAGCAAGGGAAAGTTTCTGATCAGCGAATGAGACACTGGAACATGGGTTTGTAACCGTCATACTATGACATTTTGACCTGAAATTTGTTTTGTTGTGTGTGATCATGTGCTTTGTGGGACCAAAACATCAATCGACATTTCCATGTGTCCCACAGAATGACAGCTTTCAACACACCATTGTTGGACAGTAAGACCCACTGCTTTAGAGGTGTGCTTCGGGAAGATCAGCCGAAAGGCTCTGTGAAGAGACTGGAGGTAGACGCCCATGAACTGAGGCCAGGGTGCTGCTACGTAGCTAACAAGACATGTAACAGCCTCCCACGATGAAGAATGATTTGGCCAAAAATGTTCATGATTTCACAGTTAAGCAGCACTCCTCTAGGCAGAAGAGAGATCTTTACACTTTGAATTTCCTCTGAAATGAGTCTAGATAACTGAAACATTAGCCCAACAGAATCCAATTTTCTAGCATTAGAACAACAATGTGGTTCCTTATTGATCTGGGAAGCTTGCTGAAACTGGGGATTGTCAGGTTTGAACATTCTACTATGCTATCCCAGAGAAGCATGGGAAAGTCAAGGAGAGAGTCTCACCAGGCTGAGGAGGAAGCACTATTTTTCACTATTTTTCTTTTTTTTAAGGTTTATTTATTTATACAAGGACTGGGGTGCAGGCCAGAGGTGTGGGGAGTAAGAGAATTCCCCAGAGACAGAGTGGGGAACAGAACAGGTTAATCTAATGAAATACACTGCGGAGAGGAGCAATAGGGGAGACAGGAGAGGCCTGCTGTGCCATGTGAGTCAGCTCCCTGGCCGGAGATTGAATTCAGGCTGTAGCAGCTGCAGATAACTTCACAGTGCAGACACTTAACCCCCTGCACTGGCAAGGTGGTCCAGAAGGGAAGCGCTTTTCTCTGTGAGTCAAGATACTGAAGCCTTTAAAGAAATCACTTACCCCCACTATATCTCAACTATCTTCCCATTTAAACAAGAGAAAATAGTTAGATACCTGCCAAAAGACAGAGCAAGAGAACCAGTTGATCTCTTGAAGTCCCTTTGAGAAATAGCCAGACTCACAGTGGCCTTGCCTTTCCGGTTAAATGTACCAACTCTGAGCCTCCATACTGCAATTGTTCAAGGGCCTATGTTTAAAAAAATACTTCAGGCCCTCCCTGGTGGTGCAGCGGGTTAAAGCACAGCACTAAGAAGTCAAAGCCACTTCCGCATGAGTTCAATCCCCGCCCTGGAGGTGATTCACATGGCGCGGCAGACCTCTCCTGACCCGCCCGCTGCTCCCCTCAGCAGTGTACTTCGTTGATCTGCCTGTTCTGCTCCCCACTCTGTCTCTGGTGAATCCTC